TTAATCAGTATAGAGCCAATATGAATGCTGAAAACATGATAAAAATGTGAAACAAAACTTGGCCAGGTACATTTTCATACCTCTTTCTGGGACCGGGATTCAAATATTTTATAAATACTTGCTGCAATTCCATACTCTCAGAAAACTGATTTGCATGAGAGTACGTGCCTTTGGTAACAAAATGGCCTATAAGAATTGAATTGCTTAGGGGGCTGGTATTTACCACACCTGCTTTAGGGGCTCTGTCAACCCCCTAAACCCCTCCTTTCAGGAAGTGCAAAGACAATTGCCTCTCCTTAGAGACAGTCAGAGTAACTAAGATGAATTAAGAACCTAAAAATTCCTTAATGTACCTGCCCTGGATGGCAGCAAGCACAGCTGGCTCTCTCACATTTTCCCAAGGGGAACCTAGGAAAGCTGGCTTCTTCACTCAGGGTCCTTGGTTTGCCTGGTGCTGAGAAGTATGAAACATTCCCGTTTTTATTCAAATGGTGATTGTAGGAATTCAGAGATTATTACCAGCACCCCTGAGTGTGTAGAGGAAGAGTCAGACAGTTGATGGCACTATCCTGGACTGTTTTTTCCATGTGTTACATCTGAGATGCAGTACTATCTCACCAGCTCTCACTGCTCCACAGTGCTTTAGGTCAGCCCTAATACTTCCAAAATAAGCCTGCTAATGTAGACATGCCTGTTTCCAGCACATGTAAACCTCCAGTGTGTCTCATGCTCTGCACACACTATTTCAGAGCAGCCTGTGTGTCCCTCGAGCTGAGCCTCACTAGATTTCTCTTAGTTCAGCAAGCACAGACTTCAGGCTTTACCTATACAGGAGCGCCATGTACAGGAAAAAAAAGGCACCAAGATTCCAAAAACCTCAGAAAAATTAATCCACCCCACCTTTTAGAACCAAAAGGGCTCGAGAAGAGCCTGGGGCTCTTGCAGAGAAAGTCTGACAGCAGAAAAAGAGCGTTTTGCTGTTGATAAAGAGCAGTCACTGCCTGATGCTGGAAAGAGGTCCCACCTCCTGCCTTTGTCTGCCATTGCTCTTGGACAGCCTTCCCTTCCTACCCACTTCCTCTGAAATCAGCGTTTTCTCCACACAAGATTGGTCATGGACAAGCCCCTCACACAACTGCCCTATGCTCTGCACATTCTCTCAGCACCAAATGCCAGATGAACAAGCTGTCTCCAAACTGCTCTCAGTCATTAGGTGCATTAGATGTGGATAGGCTTGTCTGTATTTATTCACCCCCAGCTGATGCTACAGAAAATAGCTGTACTAACATTTGAAAGACTGCTTTAAAAAAAACCCAAACCAACACAACCTAAGGAATATTGATCCAGCACTAAGAGGGGGAAAAAACTGCTCACATAATTTAAAAAATACAATATAGATTTTTTTTTTAAAGAAAAAATGCCACGTTAGTAAACTTTCCACAATATATGACCACATAAAAATGGGGAGCTTGTGTTCTTTGTTATTAAACCTAAAACATAAGGTCTTCTCCTGCATGTGTAAGTTTTTGTTAAAACAACAATTTGTCCTGTGGACTGTAAATTCAATTACTGTTTTTATTGGAATCACATTTTGCTTTGGAAACAATCATGCAGAAAAACAACCAGTAACTTAGACATCTTAAAAACAGAACAGTCATGGCTCTGAGAACAGATGAGTTATGGTAATTCTTCCACTGTGAACTGCAAGGTTTTTGAAATACATTTCCATATTTTTAATTAACACCTAGTTAAAAAAAAAAACCCTTACTGTAGGTCATTTTAATCAAAAATGGGAAAACAAATTTGTTTTATCAGAAAATTGATTCAACACTATTTAAGGGACTTATTTTTCATGTTTTTATCTTAAAAATTAGGCCATTAGCATACACTTCCCAATTTGGGAATGCAGAAGCAAGCCAGTTCTCTGAAATTTCAGAGTTAAAGTTTTCAGTGGCACTTCTCTATGTGAAACCAGTCTATTTTAACACCTGAATATTTGATCAGCACACACAAACCCCCACATAAGTCTAAGGTATTGGTACTTCTTTACAACTCCATTTCTATATAACTTGAATCTGCAGTGTTCTAACCATAGTCTGTTAGTCAAAAAATACTACCTCTTCCTTATCTGACACTTGGATTTCGTGCCCCATTGTAAAGAGGCTCTTCTCATTATGTATATGATCATAAATCTGTTTATGCTGCATCTCAGCATGAGTGCCCATGTTTATTTCAACTCTTCCTTATATCCTGTCATTCATGTTAGATAAAAACACAGCTGTGGGTAGGGGCAGGGTTGGTCTGGTGAATGCAGGAGTTAAACAAAGCCTTGCCTCAGCATAGCTTGGCTAGGTGGGTGATTTGAAATCTAGTAAAGCTTCCCCCTGGTAAACTGCCAAAGCCAACCACACCTTGGATGATGTGAGGTTGTTTTTGAGAAGGTAACATCTCCTTACAGATTATCTCCTCCCACTTCAACTTGGATGGTTTCTGAGAACAGTCATTTTCATTTCTGCTGGGGCATGAAATGGTTTCTGCTGAAAAAGAGCATAAATCTCATTCTGCTTTGACTTGTTAGGAAGCTCATGACAAATCATATAATCCAATGTGGATTTGTAGAATTTGTTTAAACAATGCATGAGAAGAAACAAACATTTCTACTGAATAATTTTTTTCTCCAATTAAAAAACAAACAAACAATAGTCTCTTATTTCCTTATCAACTCTGTTGACTGTATCTTCTAGAAAATTACCATACACACAAGTAACAGAACCAACAAAAATCTAACATTTGCTCAAAGATTTCCACAATCATTCAGAATTCTATCACAACTCAGAATAGAGAGCAAATACTTCCAACTCTGGAGTGAAAATCTTGAGTCAGCCATGGAATAAATAAAGCTAAAGGGTACTGCATTGAGTAGTACACTGCAGTCTTTCCTCCCATTGTGCTTTGTCTTTCTGAGAAACTGTTTTACAAAAATAGGCAAAGAACATGTGATCACAAAGTTTGCATGCAGTTTGCCTGATGAGATAAAGACAATGTGTCATTTTTTGATGGGAAAAAAACCTAAGCAATGATGCCAAAGGGTCTTATTTATTCCTTTCAGCAGCACCTTTTCCTTGGCAGCTTTCCTAAATAGCAATGTCATAGATACGTAGAGGGAGCAAGCACCCAGTGGCAGCATCTTCTCTTGAGAATGCAGAGCCATACCCAGAAACATGACATCGCCTACTCTGAAGTTGCCGTCTTTTGATCTAACCCTTAGAAGAAAGTACTCAGCAGGTGTTCAATGTGTCTGGATTGCCAAGCAGAGAAGTGGAGAAGATAGGAAAATCATTAATTGCTGGGAAGCTTAGCTGGCAACAGATAGAAAGGCAGGCTGGATGAGGACACAGGACTTAATTTGGTGCTGTGGAAGAAAAGAGGAAGAGTGATAAAAAGCAGCAACCATATCTTATGGGTGGAGGAGAGGCAGTAAGGCTGAGCATAACCTGGTGATGAGATCAAAGATCACATTCTGAAGACTCCTGGAGGTGGGCCCTATTCACTTCCTTACCTACATTAAAACTTTTTCCCTCCAATAGTCTCCAGCTCCATCTAGATAAAAATGTCACATATCCCAGGTCCTTCTATCGTGTGACTTTCCATATTGGTTTTAAAAATTGGCAGAATGTGAAGCAATTCTCACCACTATCACTGGGTTTGTGCTTTTATGTTGGCCAGAAATATTGCATGGAAACACAGTCCATGCACACATACATGTATGCAACTGATAATTGTTTTTTAAGCCTGGAAGGACTGAAAAAGAAAATTTAAAAAAGGCTTCTGAAGAAGGAGTCAATACCAAGAGCTGAAAACAAAAATTACTCAACTGGAGACCCTAAAGGACAAGCACCAAAGTATAATAGACAACTTTTCAGTAAAGTCCCTCTGTACAAAATATCTTCACATTTATAGAACAGACTGGTTTAAGAGTTCTTTACAGGTGTCCTTTGTATCATGTATACACCCTAATAAATCATATTGGATGCACAGTTCCATGTGGAAGAAATAGAGCTGATAGGAGGTACCTTTAAAAACTTGGCCTCAGAACCAGAGTCAGGTTATTTTTCCATGTCAAGTAATAGATATATTTCTCTCTCTGTGCTAAATTAGTCTCAAAGCAACACCCTCCATCAGGGAAAGACCTTAAGGTACTCTTATAATACAAGTGAAAGTCAAATTGAGCGCTTTAACTAGATTTTTTTAACAGCCCTAAAATTATTAAAATCATTAACTTTAAATAATTATATTTCAAACAGTGGTTTACTAGTTCTCTCCCTACCTTCTCTGATTTTAATTTTCTCACTTTTCAGCATGTCTTGGCAGTGAGAACAAGAAAGACCTCAAACCTTTGCTGATTGCTTTCCATGCAATCTGATTTCTATAAATTAGAAGTTGCTGATGGGAAAGCAGACAGAAGTACCCTTTGATCAAGATATACATCTTGATCCCTTTTATCATTTTTTAAAAAAACAATAATATTACAACAAAAAAAAACCTCATCATACAAGCTTTTCGATCAAAGTGTGTCACTGTCTGCTTCCTAGTCAACATACTGCCAGTAAATTGGCGAGGTGCCCAGAATGCACAGGCAGCAGCTGGTGGATTTGATTACCATCTGTATAGTCACTAATGAATAAAATATTGTGTCTCCATCTAGTGGGCATCTGCAGTTTACAGGAAATTTGAAAATGGGTTGGAGCCGACTTTGGTGGGTATGGGAACTGAACCGGCGGGGATGGACAGTGGCTTAGCTCAGGTGACTAGTACGGAAGGCATGAACCTGAGACCTTTCCATACTGAAAGGATGGAAACTAGGATGCTACTGGGACCATTCCACAATAGGCCATGTTCCTGGTTCTGGCTCTCAGTTGGTTCAGGACCTCTCACATATACGGTCACATCCCTGGTCCACATTCATGATTGTACCCCTGCCTTCAGGTACCCCTAAATACTGTTAAGTTCACCATACCCCTTGGTTTTTGGAACTTGCCCCCAGAATGTACGGTTTCTGCAGTTTGTTATTTTACCATCAATAAATTTTTTGGGCAACTCCATTGTTCCTGTCACTCTATTTTTTCACACTTGCCCGGCCAGACCAGACTTGGAGTCACAGAGAGCTGACTGTGACACGTGGGTGGCAGAAGGAGCTTCTCTCAACTCCCCACCAGCAGAACTGGGCTATTTGAAACAAGGAAGGCTTTGGAGCCCCACCCTGGTTCCATCCCTGTGCTGGCACTAGACCTTGAAATCATGTTTTCTGCAGAGGCATTCATAGAATGACTATTTCTGTTCTCACAACAAACCTCTTTCCAGTGCTCTGCATCACCCTGGGAGTCCTGGTGACCAAAATCGGAAAATGCAGAAGAGGTAAAAGGAAAAGGAAGGTGAGAACAAGGATGCCATTAATGACCAGAACTGCTGAAATAAACAATAAGAAACGAGATGAATATGTCAAGACAATGTTTGCCCTTATATTAAAATATTACAAACTGCTCCCCAAACTACTTAATGGCAGGACATGGAAAATGTCTCTTAATTCTCTCATACGGTTTCTGATAACATCCTTGACTGAAGAACTACAGGGCTAACACAAGATACACAAACCTGTTTATCAGGAGTGTACCACAGAAACAGTCCTTGGGACACAGATTTTAGAATCCATGTTGTCACCCAAAGGAGAAATTCAGGCATGACCTAGCAGTATGACAGCTCTCTCACAACAGTCACAGGACCAGAACAAATAGTTAATAAAGATGAATTCTACTCCACTCATTACACCACACACCTTTTCATTGATTACCATATTTTTTGACAACTACTCCACTAGCAATGTACTGACTGGGCATATTATATGCACAGCCATCTCCTGTGAAAACTGCATCCTAATGAAGAATATTGGTACAGGAAAATGAAATAAAAACCAACAAGACCATCCTATTGATTTTCTCCATCCACACAGACCTTAATTCCCTTAGCTCGAGAAATCTGTTGAGATAACTCTCCAACATAGCATGATTACATTTGATTTAATGACTTTTCTGAATGCATGATAGGTCCTAAAACAACTCCTCTTGTTTTTCTGAATATCTTTTAATAAAGTTGTGCTAGATGTATTTTAATTTGACACCTAAACTGGTTACAGTAAATTTTTTATCATATATTATATTTTTATCATATATTCTGTTACATTAAAGTTTATTACCCAATAAATAATTCATTCAAAGGAGCTTCAGTTTAACAGCACTTAATAGACACAGTCACTTAAGGTAGCACGCTGGCAAATTTCAGCTTTAAATCAGAAGCTGATCTGTCTTCACGTAACAAAATGGCAACTTCTCAGAAAAAGCATCAGATTTAAGAAACCCAGGCATGAGCACTTGAAAATGAAGTCAGTACATGCCAACAGCTTTTGTACTAATTTGTTATATTGCTTGTTTGTGCAGGAAGGGGATGAGATTTGTTTCAGTCTAATCTCATACTCTTTATTTCAACAGAAACTAGAAGAATTAGAAACGACTGTTGCTCCCCCAACAATTTGCTGTCATAGAAGCTTTATTTTTCAGGTCAGCATTCTCCATTCTTGATTGCTCAGTGGGAGTGCCACAATGGCTAAAAAAAGAAGGCTCTGAAGCTTCAGGATATAGAAACTGCTGACTACCTGGTGAAGGAATAATGATTTATAATATATGAATAGGGGCAATAATTGGATAGCAGATTGTACTCAAAAAAGCCTTAATTCACAGATCTGACACCAGAAAGGCATAATCCATCGATCTAGCATCAGAATGATGGATTATGACTATCTGAGAACATGTAGATATGTCAGCTTCATGAGAATTCCAGGAATCATAGTCCAAATTGTTTTACTGAAATAATTTGAACAATTTCAGCTTTTTCCAATAAAGCTGATGCACTAATATTTTAAAATATAAAAGTTTGGTTGTTTTTCCTTTAAATCCTAAAAGTTCTGCAGCTAAATATCACAGGTTGCCATAACCTGAGATTGAAGAATGTTTTTTTAAATTACTTGAAGTTGTGTAATTTTCTAACAGAGATGACAAGTTTAAAACCTAATTGTTTTATGTCACAAAAGTTTTGTATTCAAGTTTGGAGGCAAAATAAACAAGGTGCAAAGTGACAGATTAATTATCTTGTTTTCTTTCAGGAAAGAATTGACATATCCTATGTGTGTTTCCCCCCACAGGCTACTTAAAAAAAAAAAAAGAAGTTATTATGTGGATTTAGATAGAATCCTTTATGAAAAAAAGAATACTCTTGCAATGCTTTAATACCCAGAGGTTGAAATGTATGTTTTATACAGAAGCTTTTGATATTTTAAAGTTTAAAAAGGCAATATGAACTTCACTTTCCCCATTAAAACAAACATGGGCTAAGTTTATTGAATAAAATACTCATGAAAGTCCCAGAGATCATTTCACTGAGCATTGCATACTTATTTAAAAGTAAACCACAATTTCATTCATAAAATTCCATTGCAAAATCTTCCACTGTCTTTTCCCCATTACAATTAAGTGAAACAACCTATCAATTAACAACTGTGACATTAGATTAATATAGTGGCTCAGATGGGTAAGAGTTCTTCCAAAAATGCTTTCTGTTTCAGTGAAGTGTTGAGAATAATAAGAAAACCCCACATTAAATGTAAGATATTACTAAGTATTTTCAATGTATACTCATATTAAAACTGCAAAAATCCTGTGACTAAAACATCTTCTGAAGGTATAAAACCTTTTTGTTACACAAGTAATAGGGCTAAAGGGCAAAAGAAACAAACCAAACCAAGCCAGGGTCTCATATCTGTATTTTTTTCCTGGAAATTCATTTGTCTAGGAGGTTGAGTTTCTCCTCCTCTGTTTTTTCCTAACCTTATTTTCCTTACTAACAAAATCTTCTAAAGGGGGCTTATTAATAAAAGAACTACTTCGGTGGAGGTTTTTGTTTGATTCCCACCCCCGCCACTTTTGCCTGTGTTTCTGAATAAAAGTACCACAGATGAAGTGTCACAGGGCTCTTTTATAATGGCTGAAATAATTTCTTCCAGTAAGCCCCATGTATGTATTAAGTAAAGACATCCCGGGTCCAGTGTCAGCTCAGATTTCAAAGCAAACAAAGACAACAACAAGACCAAAGTAAGGGAAGAGGCTGCAGGAAAAATAATGCACTTTTTAGAGCAGACAGAAGCAATTTACTTTGTTTTGACAACTAAATATGAAATGGCTAATAAAAAAATCACTGCCATGTTCCACAAACTCCTTCCTCTAAACACACCTAATGTTCATAAAGGTCTCACATAAAGGAATCACATCACTGAAAAGCAACTACTTCTTTAAATGAGCCTTAAGCAACAATCACACTGCACAACTGATCAAAAGAGAGAGCACCTCATGAGATTAACTTTTCTGGGGAATTACCACTGTCAGGCTGTAATTACGTGGAAGGCAATCATGAGGACACCATGGACAACTGTTTTCTGGCTGTGATTTATAGGCCTGAAGTAATGACCAGTGGCCAGGATATCAGTGTAGCAGTGTAGAAGTTCAGTCGACTTCAAAGAGTCTGTTGTGCAGCAAAAAAGCAGCTTCACTATTACTTCATCATCAAACCATCTTCTACCTGCATTTTCCTTGGATCCTTTTTGACCTAAGTATTTACCCAGCTCAACTCAATTAAGCTTATGCCATCAAATGAGAACAAGTAGGGTAGCTACAACCTTTCCAAACTGAGGAAAGACTACAGCCATTAGGACTGCATGCAGGGGGAGACAGGAGTACATTTGGTATCTCCCCCTTTTTTGAGGTGTGCATTAGTCCTAGCCTTTTTCTTGTTATTGAACTGGTTGTTTCCTTTCCTTGTCTCCACTAACTCATTTACTGTATGTTATGAAGCACCAGTCAGATGTTAACTTTCTGCCTTTAATGATGTGTGCTTGAACCAATGACCTTGAAATGCAAAGCTGAGCAGATCTTTATCATTCCCTCGATAGCTAGGCCTTTATTCATCAACTTTATAAGCAAAACCTGTGTGCAAAAGGAACCCTTACTCACAATTACTATTATGGTCATTCTGCTGGGGCTGTACATTGCACTGAAAGAATATGACTTATAAAGTGCATGAGTTAGTAAAATTTAAATCAAGCAAATGTTTAATATTAAGCCATTTCATCTTTTTCCAAAGTTCAGCAAATTTTTTACAAAGCATTGAAATTGAACTTCAAGCCCTAAGGCTTGCAGTGTTGGAGCCTGCCTGATTAACATAATTAAAAGAATAGCATAACTCAAAATTTATTAAATAATTAAATATACACAGACTTATTGTTTACTTCCAACTGATAGCATGATTCCAGCTAAAATTTTCCACTGCTTCATAGCTGAAAAGTTACTACAGCACATCCCCTTTTTCCTGCTGTGCATATGATTCAAAAAGCAGAGGTTAAACACAGCAATAAAAAAAAAATAATTGGGGAATTCTATTTTTGGTCACAGTGGTGCTTAGTTTTTTCCTTTCTTTTTTACAATAAGCAGGTGCTGCTGAAGAGGTGAAAAGTCTCATGGTAGGAGGACATTGCACTTGAAAAGGGTAAGAAAATGCTTCCTTGGAAAGAATCTTCCTCTCTTCCAGAGTCAATACATATCTTGTACTGCATTCTTCTACCTTAGCCAACACCTAGCTTGCAGGAGAAGCCATGCTATATCTATTAGATTACTGCACATACACAGTTTGTGAGACCTGATCCAGAAGATTGCTCAACAAGGGCAAAGCTGACAATTTTATGTGGCATAAAAATCCTGCCTTACCAAGTGCTTGTGAGCCACTTACACCTGCATGGCCACAGAGGGCTCCCTGAGGTCACAGACAGGTTTTACGGGATGGAAATCTTATTTTCTTGATTCTGAAACTGCAGAAAAAAAAAAAAAAAAAGACTACTTTTTCTGCAAACGTTGCCTGCTTATCTTCATTTTCTCCTGCAACAATTCTGCATTCTCCTTCAGCCACTGCACTGATCAGCAGCCACTCCTGAAATATGAGGAAAACCAACGACAGAATTAAAACAAGTTGGCAAATGTACCTATATATACATAGTTCATGTTAGCACAGTTATGCTTTAGAAATTATGGCAACAGCAATAGAATTCTGCTGCTGTGATCATGGATAATCAAAGCAAACGGAAAAAAAAAAGCCAGTGCTGAAATATTTTCAAAGGCATGAAAGTCTTTACTGTTGTGTAATTTAAATTTACTTGCCATCACTTGAAATTTTCTTTCATCTGTGTGATTAGAATTTAAATGCTCCCAAAGTACATTAACAAATATAATTCTCATTATATTGTAGAAATACTGCAGCAACCTCCTCTTAATGGTGAAAACTAACTAGGCTCCTAAATTTGTTACAGAAAATACAAAGCACAATTAGTTAAAATGTTTTCAAATGAAGTCTTATTTGGGAATGATCCACAAGATGAACCAATATAGCACTTTCTACTCTACTTACACATACATACACACACCTACACATCACAAAGCTGTAGCAGTATTTTCTACAACTGTAAATATGGGATGTTTGCATTTAAGAGAGAGTATTTTTAATGCAATAGCTTTTAATTTGAGGCCAAATTTTGCTGACATTGCACAACATGGTAATGTAGTGTTTATTTTCGATACAATCCTAGCAGTTCCCCTGAAATTACTTGGGGCATGGTGGACTGAGGAAACATGAATTGAACCGTAAATCTTAGCTGCCCACTCAAAATTTAAACCTGTCAACAGTAACAGAGGGACAGACATTATAAGCCTTCTCATGCATTATTGCATGATAAATTTATCTATAAGTCACCATCCCAAATTTTTTTACTTTTCAAATTCAAGATGTTTTTGATGAATAGAAATCACTGTTCCCTGAAGACAGAGTTCCAGAGCACATTAGTGTCACACTGAAGATTTTATGCAGCCTGGGTAAATTTAGTCTTAATTAGGAAGTAGTTGACAGTCAACCTGAATGCCAGGTAAACATGAAGCTGAAATAATACCCTGCTGAAACACCACTATTCATTGCAGCATTGGTCAGGTTTAGTGTATTCTTCATGAACAGCTTTAATGACCCACCATAATGATCTTATCAGATTTGACATGCAGAATCCTGTAAGTAGCACAAATTTATAAAAATGACCTTGTACGTAACTGAATTCCACATAACAGGGTTTAGTTTGTTAACTCATGCTACCTTTTCTTTACTCTTTGTCCGCTCTTATCCAATTGATTTGGTGGAAGGAGAAAATGCAAATAAAAAAAAAATCTAATTCTGTATGTCTATATATGTTAGAGTTATTGGTACCTATCTGATTAAGCAATTTATTTTGCTACTAAAATTGCTATAGTACAATAACAGATAAATGTTAAGGAAGAAAGCAGATTTGTCTTTTTAATTGTACTGGTTTACTAAAAAGTGAAACAAAACCAACTCATGTTATGGTCTGCTAAGCAGTAAATGTATTAAAATGGCAATCAAACTCTGAAAAACTTTAGGGCTTAATTCCCAATTCCCAGAGCAACCCAGTTCCCTGTGTAATACACCATGCCCTGTTGACCATTTAATGTATAACATTAAATGTATAACTTTCCTGTTACTTAATAAGTTTCCTTACTACAGACTTCTACATTTTATTCTAATGCACATGGTTTGCTGCTTATTAATTTGTGTAATGGTCCCACTACTATGAAAGAAATAAAAAACCCCAGCAATCCAGGAGACAAATTCTCATTTTATCTTACACCTGTCAAATATTAAGATTCTCCTAGTCTGTCAGATTTCTAAGCCTGTCTAATGTCTTTAATTTGTATCCAAAATTAATAAAATTTATTCCAGTTGCTCTGATTCTGATTATGTACAATAATTTGTAATTTAAATTCACAAAGATTTGCCAAAGTCACAATGTGTTTATGTTGTCACTTTTAAAGGCTTGGCCTTTTTGACTCTGATATCAAAGCCCTGCTCTTTCCGGTTCAAGTAACACTTGGACTGACCAATTACTGATGGTAATTTGATTATGTACCTCTTTCTTTTATTATTTACTCATTTAACTGAGGATTGATCAGAACAAAGAGATAATTAAATATACTGCAATAAACCAGTATGACTAACAAGAGTAGGAACTGAAGACAAACCAGCAGTAGTTCAGAAACACAGAGATAAGACTGAAATCCTGTCTTTAACTACTCCCATTGTGTTTGGCCATGTTAGGCTTGCAAAGAAAAGGATATTAATTTTACACTCAGTAATTCAGAGAGCTCTATTTGCAAGAAAGGAGGATGGACAAAAGATAAAATCTGTGTCATGGCACAGTAAGTTACATTTGGCTCCTTACTTCCACCTTGACAATTTCTTGATTTCTCAAACAAAACATGAGTATTAAAAAGAAATTAATGGTTCAGTGCATGCAGTATCAATAGACTCAAAGGGTCATTCTAAAAATCCACAGAAACATACTGACATTTTTACAAATTCCACCAGAGGGCACGACAGTAGATGTGGACCAATGGTAGGACTATTTAGAAACATAGATGAGAAAAAAAAAGTCACACAAAAAACCCAACCATCCTCCCCACCCCCCCT